TAGATCTGTGGATTTTAAATTGGCATCTGTCGTACTGAGATAACCTTTTTTTTTTAGGTCTTTCAGTGATTTTTTTTTCCTTTTTCTAAAATGAGGAGACTAGAAACAAACACTCGTTTGCTTTGCTCTGCTTAGATATTTTAGGGAGTACTTTTCATAAGAGGTATATTTTGAAGGTTTAAGCAAAAAACATCATTATTTTTACATTATGAAGTGTATGCTTGCATAATAAAGAAACTACTACTCATTTCTTTTCCCCAGGAAAATGGCTTTTATTCAAGATTGTTTCCCACAATCAGTAGGAAAACATTTAAAAAATATACCAGTGCCTCTGTATCACTCCAAGGCTCAGGGTGAGACTTGATTCATTCATTCATTCATTCATTCATTCATTCATTCAACAGAAGCACAAAGGCTGCTGGAGAGACAGAGGTAAGGATGAAAAGAAGATGCATCCACTTGTTCACTCCTAAATTACCAGAGAGTAGGGTGTCAGGAGCTGGGAATTCAGTCCAGATCTGCATTGTGCATGGGCAGCAGGATCTTGGATCGTCACCTTCCTTCCAGCCTGTTCACAAAGATGCAAGATGAGCTGAGACCCCAAATTAAGCATTTCAATATGGGATGCAGGCAGCTAAGCATACTGTCAGTTCATCATTAATTTTCCCAGTTGATTGACTCACTGCCCACTGTTTCTCCAATGCCAACATTGCAAACCTAAGCAAAAATGAAAACTAATAATAATAATAATTAAAAAGAACAAAGGCAATAATTAACATAGCAAAATTTCATTATGCAATTCTTTATTTAAGTGATAACTTGCTGTGTATATTACTAACTAGCTATAGGAGAGGATGATACAGAACAAGAATTTAGTTGTGACCTATTTATAAAGTCAACCAGCTGCATGTGTTTGACCTGGTCATTACATCACCTGTTATGATCCTCATATCTCATATTAGAGAACCCATGCTGTAGTCCCAGTTTCACTCCCCATTCCAGCTTCCTACTGACGCACACCCTAGGACAGAGCAGACGTGAACGTACTTCCCAGAAACTTGGTTTTGGCCTTCAGTGCTGTAAGCATTTGGAAAATAAAACAACAGATGAAAACTTTCTCTGTGTGTGTTTGTGTCTGATCTGCAAAATAAGTCAAAAATAAATAAAAATTGAAAAAAGACCACCAGACATAAAGATGATTTCTCTGAAGCATTATCAATGGCATTTCATCCTGTTATCATACATTTACTATCTAATAATGTAGTATGTTATTTATATTATTTTTACAAAAGTTAAGATAAGGATGAACTGGGTCATTTTTCTCTATTCATTTACTTATGTATCTGAAGTAGGGTAGCAATTTTAAGGAAGAAAATATTACATTATACAGTAGCATGTGCACATGATTTTCATTATCAAAATCTACTTATGTCAATATCACATTCGTCCTTTTCATTTGTACATCCTTAATTGCTTTTCTTTCTAAATGTAACTGCACACATGAATGCATTTATTTATTCATTGACTCATCCATTCACTTCTGTATCTAGGAGTTCCCCCCACTATCATTAATATTGAACCATACATTTTTCTCCATTATTTTTCAACCCAGAAGGAATACATTATAATCTACATTTTACAGATAAGGAAACTGTCGCAATGTACTGATATGTACTAAGGCACACTAGAAGCTTAGCACATATTTGGCAAACACAGCTTAAAAGTAGAAAGACAGATGAGCACAATTTCTCATTTGTACACTGACTTGCTGTCATTGACCTGTCTTAGGAACTTCTCTGCGGGAAACGCTAATAACATTGAGCAAACGACAAATATTCTTTCCATATTCGTATGGTGGAGAACTTCTAAAAAAAGTTTTCTGGGGGAAAAAAAATCTGTCTTATCTACTTTAAATTGTGACCATATGACTTTGTGTCTCTATTCATTCTAGAATCACATGCCCCACATAATTTTTTTCACCTCAGATTTATGGAAAGGTAACAGTCTTCATTATTTTAAAATGAGAACTTTCCACAAGCTGAATATGACTGGATGATATTACTAGTAATCATAATAAACAAGGCAAAATGTAATTCATAGACCCAGCTTTAAATGTAATTCTAATAAGTAAACTGATTTGACCCTGTTGAGAAAAAGCCAAAGCACTAACACAATCACTAATCCAATCTACTGCAAGGAAATGGAGTGTCAGTCCATTTTCTTGGTACCTAACAAGGAACCTAAATAATGCACACATTTCTATTTACATATTCAATAATAGAGTGCTATGCTCACTGAGCGATGCTCTTCTGCCACTTGGTGGTGCTTGCCAGTTTCAGAATTTGCTTCGCGGTGGCACTGTAGCACTAAGTACATAGTAAGCACAGCAAAACTACCGCATTCCCGTTGGAAAGGCTTTAGTTCAAACTGTTTAATAATTTAACGAACCTCTGTGGAGGCAACTACATTTGCTAACCAGTCACAACCAGTAATTAACTCCTTTGGAGTTTTAAGTGACTTTGGGCAAAATGTCTTAGGAAGAATATATATTGTTGGAAAGCATGCCAAAAATTTACTTAGCAGAGAATTCAATAGCAGTTTTCCTCTGCTAAGAGGTTCTGTAAAATCCTACTTATACAGCCAAGGCATGAATTCCTAGCAGGTCCTCTTTTATCACCATAATTACTGCATGAACACTTTCAAAGACTTTGCCTTTAGTTTCTGGCTTGACTTATTTTGCGTAAACCTGATTAGCCACCACATCAGCCTTGCTACCGCTCTGTGCTTTGGAGCTGTTAAATCGCGATCTGCATCAAGCCTATATTTCTGTTGCCTGCCAGGCTGCAGTGAAAGACATCTCTGAATCTTTGTTTCTGCGGCATCCGTTGGCAGCTACACCTAATGGGCATTTCGTTTCCTTAAAGAATTTAGTCGGTCTGTCTAGAAGCCAATTTTCTGATTCCTCCAACGTCTGGTCAAATTGATCTATTTTAATGGAGTCTTCGCTGGTGAGGAGCGAGATGCCACCGCCTAGAACGCTGGGATCCGCTACCTAATTGCTAGGAGTGAGAGACACAGACTGAGAGAGCTGCGGAGGTGGGCGGATGGTGGGGGCTGCGGGGGGGGGGTGGGAGGTAGTCTTGTGATGGAGCAAAGAGGCAAGATAAAGGCACAGGTTTCACATCAGGGGAAAAGCGGATCTTTCAGAGGCTGGGAGGTGCTGCAAGATCGCCTCTCTCAAAGGAGAAGTTAAAAAGCAGGGGAGCAGGAGGAGGTTAGAGGTTAAAGTCCTTGAGAGGATTCCTGGGGCATAGTTTGTTTACCTGCTGGTGTCTGCAAAGGACCCGCAGTCCCCGCTTTCAACACACAGTGCCGCTTTTAAGGGATCTGGAATGGACGCTAATTGCCTGTTAGATGCTGTCAAACAATGTTATGGCACATTCAGGAAAGGCGGAAAGGGTGGGGGGGTAGACATTTAAGGAGAAAGAAACAGAAGGGGTGGAGAGACAGAGAAGAAAGGGAGGGGAGGGGGTAAGCGGGAAGAGGGGAGAGAGGAGAGGAAAAGAGAATTCTGAGAGGAGAGGAGAAAGGAGATGGAGGAGGGGGCGAAAGAGAAGGGTGAGGAGAGAAGGAGCTACCCTGAATCACTGAATCAATTGCACAAAAAGAAAACTCTTCCTTGCAGGCCATCCAAAACACCGTAGCTGCATTGGTGACCCAAGTCAAAGGAGAAAGGCGCTCCCCTCCTATTCTTGTCCCGTTAAGCTCTCAGACCTAGCGACTAAAATGCCATTAGACTAAAGAGTGTGCCTAACTGTGTAAAGAATGCACCAGGCAGAAGGCGGGTCCCGCTGCGCAGATGCCCGGTGTCCGCTGGAGCGAAAGAAATGGGACTGCATAGAGCCAGGGACTCCTACCGACTGACACCCTCTCTCCTAGCCTCGCCCAGGTGACCAACGATCCGGCAGCAGCCCAAAGACCGCGCCAGGAGCTCCCGGCCCCACTGGCGGTCCAGGGGACCCAGTTTGGCCAGGACGCAGCTTCCTAGTGGATGCGCAGGACAACGCACCTCCTTGCTTATGCAAAAGAGCCTGTGCTTTCTCTCTCGCGTCCCTAGTCCCGAACGAGGAACGAGGTCTGACCTTCCAAACACATTTGAACGCGTCGCCCTTGATGGCCACGCCAAAAGACTCCGGGCTGGAGAGGAGCTTGTGCTGGGCCAGAGCCTTTTGCCGCCGTACGGGGTGAGAGCAGCTGGGGGACCGCAGGGGAGAGGAGAGAGTGCACGAGCGACAGAAAGAGGAGAGAGAGAGGGAGCGAGCGCTGGAAGGAGAGACAGCCCGCAAGGCTGGCTGAGGAGCAAACAGCCTCCGGGCTGCAGGCTCCTGCGGAGAAACGTTGCTGCTTCCGGGCAACCTGAGCAGTTCATAAAACGTCGCCTCTCACCACCTCCTTCTCTCTGGGACTCCCCAGACAAAAGTCCCTGGGCTGTCGGGCTGTGACTTTCCCCGCCCGGGTCCCTTACAGCCCGATGCGGCGAGTCCCCGCAGCCCGAGCGCCTCTTTCCTTCCTGCCTCTTGCCCCGCTGCGGCGGCTCCTCCACCACGTCCACCCCCACCATCTGCAGCTCCGAGGAGGCGCCACCCAGCAGCGGCGGGCGCTCGCAGCCGCCAGCCACGCACTAACAGACGGGCCCCAGTCCCAGCCCCGCGCACGGCAGGGGGCGTCCTGGAGCGCAGCCTGCGCGGCCAGTGGCATCTCAGTGGTGGGGGTCGCCCAGCCCGAAGCCGAGATGCTTCCTCGCGCCGTCCCCGCCTAGCCCCTCTCGGGCCAGCGCCTGGCGAGCTGGCCCATCTGTGGCATCCGCGGCCGCCTCCTCCTTGCACCTCCTCGCCGACCCCTCCCTCCTGGGACCTGCATCCCGCTCCGCCAATCAGAGCCCTGCTGCCTCTTCCCACGTGACCCCGAGCGGGCTAAGGACCTGCTGCTTCCCAAACGCCAGAGGGATGCGGGCGGCAGAGCGCGAGAGGCGGCTGCGGGGCTGCGGGGTGCTTTGATTCCCTCCACCCTGCCTCCGCGGGCTCCCCCTCCTCCGGCCCTTGGACTCGGTTCCTCTGCACCCTCCCCGGGCTTTCGGCTTCCCCACAGCCCACTCCCTATGGCAGCAGCTTGCCGCGTCCGCGGCGCAGTTTCGCAGCGAACCACCCTGTGGCTCCCGGGACTGAGCCGGGTCGCTGGATGTTGCTGAAACTCTGGAGATCATGCCTGGGTTTGACTGCGGCTTCCCCGCCAGGTGCCACTGCCGCCGCCACCGCCGTCCGCGGGATGCCCAGTAGCCCGCTGCCTGACTACCGCGATCCTGTGTTGCTCGGAAGCCGTTTGCTGCTGCAGAGTTGTGCGAACTAGTCATGGTGCTGTGGGAGTCCCCGCGGCAGTGCAGCAGCTGGACACTTTGCGAGGGTTTTTGCTGGCTGCTGCTGCTGCCGGTAATGCTACTCCTTGTAGCTCGCCCGGTGAAGCTCGCAGCTTTCCCTACCTCCTTAAGTGATTGCCAAACGCCTACCGGCTGGAACTGCTCCGGTAAGTCCGGGAACCCCCGCCCCCCTACTCCCTTAACCCGGCAAAAGAACGCGCATATCTAGCCCAGACCAGACCGCATTGGCGGGTCTCCCTAACCCCCACCCCTCAAAAGCCCCACCTCCCAAAACCTCGAGACGACCCAATTCCACCCAGAGGACCAGGTGAAATTGTGCCCGAGTGGGCGCTGAGCAAGGAGAAGGTTCTTGGGATGGGCAGAAAGTGCAGGTGTTAAGGTCTATTTGCACGCTAGTACTTCCTTTAGAGCTGCAAGGATGTTGAGACATAGCCAAGGAGATGTGTTCTGGGTTCACTGATAAAGAGCATCAATCCTAGGGCAAGCACTAAATGGGAACCTTTCCCATCACTAAAGAAAAAAACAAGTCTGGCTAGGATGAGCGAGAAATAACTTTATGCGAAAGAACGAGCGAGAAAGCAATAAATCAAATGGTGACTGCAGCGGAATCGCTGGTTCCTGGCAAAAGTGCCATTGAGCTTACACTGGTCTCGCATTCAAGAGGAGGTCACAGAATCTAAAAGAGCTGGGATTGAAGAGATAAAGAACCAATCTCTCTCTCTCTCTCTCTCTCTCTCTCTCTCTCTCTCTCTCTCTTCCTCCCTCCTTCCCTCCCCCCCACCTCCCCTTCAGCTGCCCACCACCGTTTTAGCAGCCAAAACATACCCTCTCTCGCTTTCCCTGATCTTACGTGTGAAAAGAAGTTGGGAGGGAACCCCTCGCAGGTTCCCCAGGCCCTGGACAGAATGTCTGAGGCTGGCCAGGCTCCAGAGCAGCCGGGTGGAGGTTGGAAGCGACCTGGATGGGCGCTGACTCCTCCATTTTTGGACAGGCTTCTGTGGAGTGGGTCAGGCTTTCTTCGTGCTCACTCTGGTCCCTTCAGATTTTGAACTGGAGATCTTGGCAGGTTTCGCTTTTCTGAAGCCTCCTAATTAATACGGCCGAGAGATGTGAGTCCGCACTCTTGCTAGCTGGTTTCGCATTTCAGGACACCAGTCTGTAGTCCATAGGGCGGAATCCTGGGATGTTCACACTGGCACTATAGACTCCTGTTAGAAAACGTCTTGGTATTGTCTTCCACGTCTTTTCTAGGTTTTGCAAGTATAGATGCAATTTTTCATCTCCTGGAAATATAATTCTGCTATAGTCAATTTTGGATCTGAATAAAAAGTAGCATTTTAGGAGTGTACAAAGATCCAGTACATATATAACTTTTGAGAGAGCATCACCAGCCATAAGTTACAGTACTGAGGTATCACAAGTTAATTTCAAGAGAAAAATTATTAAACAGCATTCTAGTTGATATATTGTTTTTAAAAAATGAAAGTTGAGATTTGCAATCTTACTGAATTCAAGTGCATAAAATGACTTCTGTTTGAGGCGGTTTCTAATTTTGGCGTTTTTATCACTCTGGAAATGTTTCTTTAACTTATTCTGGGTTCATGCATACATGTATGTTATTTTTGACAGAATGAGTTCCACTTTGCAATGGCCAAATTGCTTTTGGGGGGTAATTCATCATAAGAACAGTGAATAACCTATAAAGTGAATGGTTTGAAATGTTGGTGATTCTGCAGTACAACATGACTGATTTACTTTCAGTAAATTTACTGATTTACTTATGAGTAATATTGTTTTAAGAAGTAACTAGTTGAACTGTAAAATTGAAATTGGCAATCAAACTTCGTTATTAGCAAGATATCTTAAAGGATCTCCAGGAATTAAAAAGAGCAAACCCCCCTTTCAAGCAAAGTGTCAAGAACTTGGCACCCTCCTCCTTCCTCTGTTAACTTAGAAATGATCAATCTTCATTTGAGCCAGACAGACCATTGCAGAAAACACCGAGCCTGTTTATCTTTATTATCGAGTCTTTGTTTCCTCTTTGTCTGGAGAAATTCCAAATAAGGGGTTATTACAGGCCTTAAAGAAGAAGAACAATAAAGATGAGAAAATGCCAGAGACCATCACTGACTCTTTTCTAATATGTGGAGTTTTGTGCTCATAAACATAGTCCACTTAATGAACAAAACATGAGGAAATCAGCAAGCAAGCGTCAAACCTTCATTCACCACTTTTAATGTTAGCCAAAGATAAGGTAAAATAACCCTGTCAAAAATGGGTACCAAAGGAGAATTGACTGGAAAAGAACTGAGAAGAATGGAAATGAATATTGATCACGTAACTAGGTTTTGAGGTTATCTATAGAGTATGACCTTGCAGTATAGCTGTGATTGGAAATTAAAGTTAAGAGCAATTCTTTCAAAGCTTCAATAGTGCTTGCTTTTGGTCATAACTCATGACATTTTTAATGACTGGAACATTCTCTTCGAATTTGAGGTTATGACGATAGAGAGAATGATCTCTTCCTCTGTGACACCAACACGTGTAAATTTGATGGGGAATGTTTGAGGATTGGAGACACTGTGACTTGCGTCTGTCAGTTCAAGGTAAGAAGTCTTGCGTTTGCATTTTCTAATTAAACATGATAGCACAAAGCAGGCCTATCCCTTTACAACTGATCATTTGGAAATGTATAAGTATGCAACTAAGAGGAAAGCTGGCACCAAGCAAAAGTACTGGCAGGAGAACCGACTTAAGACTGAAAAACATACGCTTTCTGGAGAAATATGTATATCATGGTAGCAAATGTCACTGGTGGTAGAAATCTTCAGATTGTGCTTTTGTGACATCAAAGCAAAATCGTGTTTCTTTGACCCTTCTTGCAAATATTTTATAGGTAAACTGAAAATTAATGATGGTCAAAATAGTTGATGAGTAAAACATGTGACTTTGTATTTTTATTCTTTTTGATTGGTGCTCTCATCTTTTTTTTAATCTTACTTAGCTTTATTTTGATGGTCTTGCATTTATTATCCAAGTAATCTATTTAAGTTTTGAAACAAGCTCCTTATTAATGTAACATCATAATGACTGTACTAATTTAGAAATTACGGACCATATTAATACATGTCAACTTTTCATGGGTAGCATATTGAATTAGAATGAAATCTCTAAGAAACCCAAAGAGCACATCGAGAACCACATAATATTTTTGAAAGTTATAAAGATGCACCTATCCTTGCTTTAAAAAAATTTTAATAATTAAAAAGGAAAGTTCGCAGTGCTGGTATCATCAAAACTAGTTTATTACTATCGATTAAACATAGAGCCTTTAGTGTTACTCTGTAACAAGGGATTCCATCATGTTAGTTGTAAGCCATTCCTTCCTTTCAAAATGTTTGTGTAATCATGTACATTCTTACTTTATGAGTATGATGTATTGAACCATTAAGTATAATTAGTAGTATCCTGTATGGACCTTTGGGGATTATCTAATTAACCATTTATTTATTTTTATTTATGTCAAACTTTATTGTAACTTGGATATGCTAAGTCACTCATTTGTAAGGGTGAAATCCCAAGCTTTGGTAAATAAATTGCCATATAATCAGCCTGATAATTAAATTACAGTGTATATATATATATACACACACACACATATGTATATATATGCACACTATCCAAAGCAACTTCCTTAATGACTTCTTGAAGTTAGACCAGTATAAATTGAGCTACTTAAAAATATAAAGCAATGCTGACAAGTCAATGAGGAAATGGAAACGTAACAAAACTATATGTAAAACTATATGAGCCAGTAAAAAATTTTCTAAAATTGTAAGAATAAAAGACTGGAAATATGGAGGAAGAGAACCAATCAGTTAAAGAGAAAGTATTACATATACAGTAATAAAATTATTGACCTCAAATTCAAGTCCATAAACATAATTTAATATGTAATGTTTATATTTGTTGTAATTTAAATATTTTAGATTGAGTTCAACTTTCCAGTGAGGCTCATAAAGACATTTGCATTTAAATAACAATATGATTCAAATAGTTAAATTGAAAATAGAATTAGAAGTAGTATACTATTGCAAGACATTTTGAAATCCATGCACAATTTTTGTAGAATACATACTTTCATAAAATTTTTAAGACTCCCTCATATGTGTGCATTTCAAGTTTTTTATACCATTTAAATACAAATTTGTATTTTGATTTCACATTCCAAAAAGTTCTTAAACTGACTTCCTATAATTTGAGTGAAGTTTTATATAAACCACAAGCTATTTGGTCATTATTTTCTTCTTTCTAACAAATCCAATCAAATAACTGATACTTGTAAAGTGTACCATTTCCTGTCCAGTAAATATCCCTTTGATAACCAAGTCTTCAAAATCATAGTATATAGAATATGCATAGTAATATATGCATGCATATTTAGTATGCACATGACATCAACTTCTAAGGTCTCCAGCCACACTGAACAATGTAATTATGTTCTTTCAAGGAACTACATGGGAGAGTTACAGCATGAGAATTCATTTCATACTCTCCACAAATGTTAACTATAGAGACAAAAAATAGTTGAATAAATTAGTAATTTAAAGGCCACCAAGTTTGGGGAAATTAATTTGCCTCTTAAGTGAGTGATTTTCATATATTTTCTTATCTTTATAGTGAAGAGTAGGTACAAGAAGTGAATTCATAAGCAGTATAAACTGAATAAGAAAGGGCAGTTTTCGAAAATTTGGCCTTGATTCTAAAATTTGACCAAGAGAATGAAGAAGCTGATAGAACTCTAAGTAAAGGATTTCAACTAAATGAAGGTGTTTTTTTAATATATATATTAAGGGATGGTATTCAGTTTTCAGTTTCTACAGAGAGTTTTAGTAAATTTTTATCAGCAAAGAAACTTCAGTTTTCCATTTTTTCCAGCTATTTATTTTTGTAATTAATTTTAAAAACTCTTGAATGGAATACAAGTTCTGGAGGAAATTAAAATACCTATATACTTACTGTAGACATTGAAACATTTTAAACATTAAACATTTTAAACTTACTACTGGATTGGTATTGCTGTTAGTGTATGCTCTGCAATAGCTGTCAGTCAGGTGGGAGGAAATAACAACTTCCCTAGTTAAAAAAAAAAGTTGTGCTTTGAACTTTCCAAGAGCATAGATCAACTAAATTATAGTAAAATCATGGAAAATGTATAAATCATATCAGCAGTAATAGAATAGTTTAAGTTAAGAACATATTGAGTTGGCCATTTCCCAATACTCTCATTTGAATTTGAGGGTTTTTTTATTATTATTATTTTTGTGGGTTTTGTTTTATTTTGTGTCTGACAAAATATACTTTCCTTTGGTTCCCTAAGTCTCAAGAACTTTGATTCTCCCTGCATCTTAAGATATAAATATGAATTTTTCCATTTAAAATAGGAAGCAGATGATAGTCTTTTTGTCTGAGACACCAATCTAAAAGAGAAATTGCTAAGTAAATGTACAGTCTAAGATGTTTTGCAACTTGGATGATTATTTACTAAAAGGAATGTGTGTGTATCTTTTAAATGATTTAAAATAAACTAATTTGTACCCTCCACTTATTATTTTTTGCTTAAGATAAATATTTTCTACTCCTTTAAAGATGAGAGAATTAAGACTCATAAATACAAGTATTTTCCACTAAGTGCTCATTCTGGGGTGAGAACCAAGGTCTTAGGACCCCAAATCCAATTGTGTTAATCAACATAATTAGAACTGCAATTGGAAGTATCAGTGACAGCAAAAGTATTCACTTATAATAGACAATTCTTAAGAACAAAAAATACAGATTTTGTACACGTTTTGCATCCACAATCAAAAAACCCGAAATCTGTAATGCTCTGAAATCAGATTCTGTTGTCTCCCTCTTTTTCCTTGTCTCTTTCACACACACACACTTGGGTCAGCATTCAGACACCCTTGTATTTCATATTTTGTGGTTAGAAGTGTTCAACCAACGAAGTCTATTGCAGTATTCCAAATTTGAAAATAACTTATTTTCCCAACTATTTTTAATAAGAGATACTCAGCAGAAACAACCACTAGTTGTGTGACAGTATGAACTCCTAAGTGGCACACTATTACACGCACCCTATGTTCCTTTCTGTGTACCAAATGAGGCTATTTCCTCTGGCAAATCTATTGGACAGATAAATATTTAGAAACAGTAAATGAATGAATGGATAATATCTTTTAGATGGAAGAATAGAGGCAGAAGGGAAGGTAGGAGAAGGGAAGAAGACATGCATGTAGTAATTCATACATAGCACTGGCCATAGAGAGATCAATAATGCTTTGAAATTTAGATACTTGGGGGGCCAGAGTTTTGATGAGGTAGATTGTGCAACCACTTAGAAAACATGACATTTCTTATTTGCATGCTTGATTTGAATATCAGCTGCCCCACTTCTCTTTTTTAAAAGATTCATTTTTTTTTATTAGAAAGTCAGATTTGCAGAGAGAACAAGAGACAGAGAAAAAGATCTTCTATATGCTGGTTCATTCCCCAAGCAGTCTCAGTGGCTGAAACTGAGCCAATCTGAAGCCTGGAGCCAGGAGCTTCTTCCTAGTCTCCCACGTAGGTACAGGATTCCAGGGCTTTGGGCTGTTTTTCATTGATTTCCCAGGCCACAAATAGGGAGCTGGAAGAGAAGTGGAGCAGCTGGGATACGAACTGTCACCCATATGGAGTCCTGACGCATGCAAGGTGAGGATTTTAGCCATCAGGCTCACCTGCCAGGCCCATCTACTCCACTTCTAATCCAACTTCCTGCTAATGGGCCTGGGAAGCAGCAGTTTATGTTCCAAAATCTTGGATCTCTGCAACCCATGAGAGAAACCTGATAGAGTTTCTGACTATTAATTTTAGGCTGGTTTAGCCCTGGTTGTTGGGGTCACTGGAAATTAGACTAGAGGATAGGGAGTCTCTCTCTCTTTCTCTCTCTCTTTCTCTCTCACCCACAAATTATTTCACTCTCTCTTCAAGCAAATAAGTCAATTTCTTAAATTATTTAAAAATATAAATGCTTATATTTTTGAGACACTAATTGAAGTACAAAATATTTTCATGTAATAAGTCATACTTTAGACCTGCAAAGTCCCATTTATTATGGTTGCGTAACAAATTGCCTGGTATTATTGGCTTAAAGAATGAGCATTAATTTGGTTCTTGAATCTGTAACTTGGATAAGTCTTGATGGAAACAGCCCATCTCTGCCCTGTTCGATGCTGGCTTGGTGGGAAGGAGAAGCACACAGGGAATTATAGGCCTTGTGCTGTACTCTTCTCAGAGCTCTCTCATCTTCCTGACTTCTATCTGGACACTTTCAACTAGTGTATGTTGAGCTTTGTGTGGGGGCTAGTTTGAGTTTACAAAGTAAGTCTAAAGCAAGCATCCAAAGAAACAGAGTGGCGGGTAAATTCTGTATTCTTAAATGGCAGGACTTCATGGAAACTTCTGCCATTGTCAGAGTCCCGTTTACTCTTAAAAGCATAAAATTCTTACATGAGGAACTGTGGTCATAGAGAAGTTAGATACTTAGGGAATTGTCAAACGATTGGAACACATGCAAGATTTTTATCTCTTGCTTCTTGGAAAAGAAATATACCACATCCCAAGCCATCCTTCCTGAGCTTTGACAACTGGGACTGTAACTGAATTCACTTAACATCTGTTGAACACCTTCTACATGCCAGATTCTGTGGAAGGTGCTGACAATATATAAAACATAAGTCATCCATAGCTTCTAGATGCCGAAATCTCAGCCAAAAAAGTCCCTATTAACCAAACAAGCAATAAATCACAGCAAAAACTCATACATTTTTATTCATTTGTAGTAAAAATGAATTCCATCTATTTTAGTGTGGCAGGCTATTGAATCCCCTAGTGTAGTGCATAGCTTGTTTCTTAAGCAATAGGGAAATTTTGGAATAAGGTTATTCTTCTGAAAAAAATACATATTTAGAAAATAAATTTAAGATCTGTAAAACATCTTAAGAAAAAATAGAGTCATTTTTTTAGCCTGAGAGGAAGTTTGTACAACACATATAACTATGGATCTTACCATCTGGGTTTGATCCTCTCTCACCAGCCAACTATGTGGCCTTTGGCGAGCCACTCAACATTGGAGTCTGTACTATTGTATGAAGCTGAGTGGTTTCATAATTACCACTTGAAATTGCCTCCGATAATTTGGTGTATTTTAATGCAGTGGTTTGTCAATGTACACGCTTAGAGATATCTTATTTTGTCTTCTGATTTTAGAAATACCATAGTTGGGTGCTATTGGTAGATGATTGTTAGTGAAAATACAGTGAATGAAAGATAATTTACATTTCTTTTGGCAAGCATTGCATGTTTTAAACCATGATTTCATCAATTGAATGAATGTCTCAGGTAATGGAGAATGATGCTATGAATGTGTTTAGTATTTAGTTGTTTAATAATATACAAAAGAGTCTATTTTAAGACAGCGAGAGAAATATAATTTCCCACTCTAATGATTTAGACCATGTTTCCTCGCTCTGTGATTCATATTAATGAGAGCAAGTCATGGTACTAAGGGCCAAAAACATCTTGGTGATAATCTACAGTTAAGCTACTTTCAGCTCTACAAATCTCCGTTTTGGCTTATGCATGGATCTTGGCAACTCTGTTTGTAGCACTGTTCACATTTAGCCTGCTTGCATGCTTCAAAGCAGCATATGAACACTTCATCAGTTTATTCGATATTTTAAGATGCATCTCAGTATTGTGTAATAGCACTTGACAAAGATAACAGATACTTCCCAATCTCCACTCCCAACCCACTGACTCTACATTTGAATAATCTACAGAAGTACATGAAAGAAACAAGCAGAAATTTTAGGGATTGGAGGGGATAAAAGGAGGACCCCAGTACTCCATACACTAAATATTGTAATCACAGTTAGAAATATAGATTAAAAGATGTTTAGAGGCTAGGCATAAGAAGAGAATCAGCCCAGCCACCCACATCCTCATCTGAGGGGTCAGCTGGTCTTTTGACCATAACGTCATCATTTGTTTCTTTCTTTCTGGTCTTTCTCACATTTGCTTAGAAATCATTGTGTTTTCATTAAGTTCACATCAGTCTTACTGATATTCTCCAGTTTCAAGTTCCAAATGTAGCACATTAATCAAGCATCTTTCCTTCATCATTGATGACATGAGCACCAGTTACACTCGTTTGTTGCGTCTTGGCAGTATGGCTCATTTGAAAATAGCTCTGTTCATACACTTTGTAATTGCCTTTTTGTTCGAGTAGGACTGGAGATGCTAAGCCACACTACAGCTGGTAGGGCTAGTGGAAGACAACCTTTACATAGGTATTCCCTGATCAGTCATGTACTGTCTACTGAGTTTAAGATCACTGAAACATTTTCAAGAAGTTCTAACCACACAAGTAGACCACATCAGGAAGCCAACAGTGAAATTGTGGAAAGGAAGGGCATCCAGAATGTCTGTTTTGTAAATGATGGAAATAAAGATTTTTTAAAAAATAAATGTCAAATCATCTTGTAAGCAGGTTTGGTCATCCTAATATGGGTGTTACAGTATGTGAATTAACTATTTGGATAATTATAAACCACAATTACCAAGATTTTATATTCAGTTATATAATAATACATGAAAGACCGTAAGATTTTAATTAAAAGAAAATTGACTATATTTCTAACTCGGTAGGATGATAAAGCTTATTGTTATTAAACTATCTAGTTGAAAACCAAGTGTTAGGGGTGGAATTTGTCCAGCATTTAGGATGCTTGTGTCCAGTTCAGAGCACTTGGACTTGAATCACAGTTCCCAGTCCTGATTCTAGGGTTCTGCTAAGGTGAACCTTAGGAGGTAATGGTGATAGTTAAAGTGATTGAGTCTGTCACCCATTTAGGGAACCTAAATTTAACTCCCTGCTGAGAGCTTCAGCCACAGCACCTCCCCAGATGTTACAGATATGTCAGGAGTGAGTCCCCAACTGGGCGTTCTCTCTTTCTGTGTCTTTCAAATAAATAAGTTGTTTAAAAAGAGTGAATATTAAATAGGAGATTGTAAAGAAGAAAGTATAATACTGTGTGGAAGAAAATACAGAAGACATTTGTAAAGATGTCTTCCAAATCAGGTCTTCCAAATCAGATTGTCACCCTGTTGAGAGTTATAGTTTTCAAAGTTCTGCAAGACTCTAGATCAAAGCCAGTAACTCAAACCTTTAGGTCTCACTGGCAGATGGCAAGGACCCCAGTGTTTGAGCCATCGCTGCTGCTTCCCAGGGTGAGCACCAGCCAGAAGTAAGAAATCAAAGTGGGACTGGTGTTCAATCCTGGCACTGCAAGCATTCCAAGGGGGGGGTGCTTAACTGTTGCCACTGACTCAAGAATAGACTATTTTTTCTCATAAATCCAGATTTGAAGTTTATGATAAAGTTTCAGATTTTAACATATGTTTAAGCTTTACTAAATATGTATCTACTGACCAATAATGTGACAAATTCTTGATTCATTTTGCGCATGTTGTAATTTACAGCATATGAAAATCCAAATATTTTAATTGAAGGTAAATCATAGGAGCATTTTCAAATTTTTCACGTGTTTCTGTTTTTGTAATCTTCCTCCCTTATTTTCCGGCATAGGCAAGCAGTTATGAATAATAATCTTGATCATTACATCGGTGATAATTAAACAATGAAGTGCATCAGTAGTAGTAATAATGAGATAATCACATCCCTGGTGTAATTAGCAGGTGTAGGACACAGCCAAGTATATCTAATGCCTCAGAGTGTGATTATGTTATGATTATACCCTCTAGGTTGCTTAATTTCCACTGTAAAATGTATAAGCTTTTGCAATGAGACTTTTGAAAATTAACTCTCCTCTTTATGAACTATATATTAAAAGTCATACTTAGGAATAGTCAGTAAAGGTAGTTGTTGAGTACTCTACTTTACTGTATTCTATTGTCCTGCAACTTTGTAAACATCCATATCTGATCTTTTTGAATATTTGAAAATTTACAATGATTCAAGTTAAATAGATGAGACAATAAAGAAGTAACTGGATTTTTTCACATTCCAACTACACTCTTCTCCAAATATAGACACTATCTCATTTGTAACACTTTCAGTATTATGGCATACTTTGATGTTCTTGGTATTTTATGTGTGTTATATACCAGAAAAACAATATTAAATATACTGATACATTTAGTGCTGTATCTTTGTCATGCTGTCTTCCCAGTTACTTTGGTGGGAATTCTTTGTGAATTTAGATAATCTTTGCTCCCCCTGCCTAAGTCAAATGAGTGATGAGTTATTTAACAGTTCCTTTGTGTACCATTAAATGATGCCCTAACAAGATCAAAGACTTGAGATAGCAAGGGAATCACTGAAAATAAAGGCAAATGAGCTTCCTTTTGTAAATGATAATTATTCAGAATGGCAGAAGGATAAGACACCAGTACTAACCATGGGCTTCTCTCTTTGTGTTTCCCAGTGCAACAGTGACTACGTGCCTGTGTGTGGCTCCAATGGGGAGAGCTACCAGAATGAGTGTTACCTGAGACAGGCTGCATGCAAACAGCAGAGTGAGATTCTTGTGGTGTCCGAAGGATCATGTGCCACAGGTATGTATGTGATATTTTCCTAAAACCTTATTAATTGGTTCTAAGTTTAAAAATCATGTATTGTGTTTACTCTCATTTGAAAGTAAATTGTTCAAGCCATATAATAATTAAACATCCCTTTTCTCTTTTGTGCAAATCATGCATTATTTTTGGTCTTTTTTATCTCAAACCAGTGCAAAATAAAGAGAAGTCTACCATAAGGTTTTTAGTTAATTTAAATATATGCTATTTAATGATGTGATGATAGATGTATGAAAGTCAAATATAATTAGCACTCTTGATTGACTACCCAAATACCAAATATACCAATCTATGTGTGAATAAAGTTTATCAGTTATTTCAACCATGGCATAATTTACTAAAAGACAGTTTTACAGATTTCAGTTATTAAATTTATTTTTTATTTGAAAAGCAGCTATTATGGAGAAAGACAGGGTTCACTCCCCACATGACCACAACAACCAGGCTTAAGTAATTCAAGCTGGGAGAGTCGACAGCTTCTTCTAGCTCCCACACTGAGTGCACGGTCCCAAGGATGTGGACCATCATCTGCTGCTTTCCTAGGCCATAAGCAGGGAACTGGGTCAGGAAGTGGAGCAGCCAAAACAGGAATCAATGCCCTTATGAGATGCTGTCACTACAGAACAGCATAGTCTGTTGTGCCACCATGCTGGTCCCTAGGGGTTCAATTCAAAAGTTAAAAATTAACCTTTGCAACAGGTAAAAGGCTCTTAATGCTCTTGTCACCATTTAGCAGACTAAAAACATTGGTGGTAGATATCATTTCTGATGGCATCTATCCCAATACAGTTAACTTGGGATTGTACATAAATTCTGGGTTATATTGTACCACGAAACTGAGATGGAAAGGTGCTTTTTAGATTATCTCCTTTGTTTACTTCAGCTGTAAAAATTTAACAGATTATTGTTAGAAATATATATATAATAAATATATGTATAATAAAAATCATTTATATTAAAGTAATCTTAGTGCCGCATGATAGTTGTTCATCATAGCAAGTAGGCGTATTTCTGTAAAGATACATTTTTTTGAGAATATGAATGCTATATATCCAGGGAAAATAATGATACATCATTCAAAAATTGAGAACGAAGGAATTGTATCCAGAAAAGTTTATTTTATTTAAACGTATCTTTTAGATAACAGATGCTGCTTTTTTGCAGACTTTTATTTTTTATTGTAAAAGTGAAGTAGTTGGTGACTTGAGAAGGCTTAAAAATTGGCAAGGAGAAAACTCTCATGCTTTACAAAGGATTTCCTTTGGCCCGTTGGTTGCTACTAACTGTTGATATTCTACCAAAACACCTAAAAAATAGCAGAAGAGAATGGTATCATTTCTCCTGAACAGTAATGTGTCCTTTTTGGTTTTGGTTTTAAGTAGTCTTTGTCTCAGGGTGAGTGTCCTTTCTGGGAGAGTGGTAGGGATGCAAGCTGGATGCAAGCTGGTGTTCCACTTCTTATTCGTTAGAGCTGTTGGTGTGTGAGTGAGAAGTGATGAACAAAAGTGATAGCAATATGTGAGAGTTGCTGGGCAGTGCTCCCTGGTGGGAAAGAACCAACTTGTTATTCTAGTGAAGATGAAAGACAAGGAGCAAACCAATTATGAAAAAAATACTCAGTGATACCTAAACAACAAAAAATAAAAAGCAACACTTCAAGATAAATAGGATGAAAAATATAGTACTTGGCAGAAACTGTAAAGATTGTAGTAAAATATTACAGAATGTTAATGAAAAGTTTTGTTTATTCGGGAATATAAAGTATATATGTCCTTCTTTCAAAATAACCGAAGGAGAATCAGCAGAACAAACAGACCAGAAGATGTGGTTGTGGCAAATGATGGTTGGTAGCAAAGTCTCCCCTTCATGCTTGCCAACCTCAAGTCCTTGTCAGCACATACTTCTGATTCATTTTATTCTTTCCATTATAGTTCGTGATGTGCTGGTTATACCAGGAAAATAAATTCTTAGCCAGGAAGAAAATCTAATCACAATTGAATAATCAGTCCTTACCTCATTTATACTCTTAGATCTGTACAGAATTTAATTAGTAAGCCAATCTTGCTGAATACCTCTTCCAATGATGTGTAACTCTAAAAGGTTTTTGAGCTGAATAATCATGCACAGATCAAGGCAATTTTGACTAACTAGGTCTGACTGTAAATAAATTGGGGTTCTGACTTTTAATCTCTGGGGGATTTTCATTCCTTTCCTCATCGTCTTTCCATTTTTATTTTTAAAGCTACTTGACACCAAGTAGAGGTGCTAATTTCTGATATCTTAGAATAAAAGGCAATAGAAGAATTAATTTTGTGTTTATCATATTTAATTGGAATTGCAAATGCTTTTACTGTTGTGTTGTCATCATCCAGAAAATGGTATCCTTCTGGGAAGTCTACTCAATGTTCTCTCTGTTGATTTAACTCTTCGTCTTGTAACAAATAAATTAAGCCCAGATTCAGGTCCAACAACATGGTCCTTTCTTCTCCTTGGTGTTTACATACAATTAATAGGATCATAGTAGGCTATTTATCTCTAAATTTGCCAAGATGATTCATCTTACAGTAGAAATACATTAAAGCTCCCAGAGCTGTTTCATAATGTTGCCATCGTTTTATGCCACCACTTTTCCAATATATTACTTCTTTCTTTCCTAGCTTTTTAATTTGGATAAAATTGAACATCAGTTTTCCCAAGGATTATGAAATTTTGGAAATTTTCATAGGTATCACAAACTGAAACACTACTGTCATTTTTCCTTGATTTTTTCTTACTGATATATACTTGGTTATAAAACCGATAATGATTAGGTAATGTGTACTCTTTGCAATTTTGCGATTTTATGTTCTAAACAGTGTTCAAACATTCAGAAAATATTATTGAGTCTTAAGTCTCCAAATATATCCCAATGTAGTAAGCATTACTGTTGTTGGAATAGAGGAGAAATAAGTTAATAAAGGTGGAATGGCATTATCTATGTTATTCAGGGAACACAGTTTTTGTAACTGAGACCCCAATGGTTTTAAATTTTCTTGTAAATGCATGTAACTCTAGAATGATGAGCAATGAATTGTCATTGACTAAAAGAAGTTCATGATCACAAAGAATGAAAAGAGAAATTATATACATTCAAAGGAAAGTGGAATGTATTTTCACTATAGTAACTTCTAATTCTGTCCCTATTGATTATTAGCAATACTGAATTAAGCTTTCAAATTAACTGACACAAAACAAATGGTTTTGTTGTGAAATTTTTCATGTACTAAACTTAACAAACATTGTTCATTCAAGCATTGCTGTGTCCAAAAGTCATGGCCTGTGTCTGTTTATTATCAGCTCAAAATTAGCAGAAATTCCCGCATGAGTGTTATCATTAAACTGTCAAGTCATAAGATTTAAATACCTGTTTGGTTCTACACTTTCTAGGAAGAGTTTTATCATTATTATTATTATTATTATTAATTGTGTTACAAATTAACTTGCCTTTGAAGAAACAATGTGTTGGCCGAAAGGCATGCCTAATCAGATTAAAAGTTAATTACTTGACATTCCAATGAAATACAGTGTTAGCACCGAGTCCAACTGATGTGAGTCTCCACAAGACTAGGGCTCCTTAATAACAATGCTAATGCCACAGCATGATAGCAAGAAGACTGTTGGAGAGGCAGCCTTTCTTTCATATGTCTACCTTCTATGGATTCTATTAAAAACGCCTTTCTTTTTCATTCATTTGAAAGCGGGGAAAGAGAGAAAGAGAACTTCAATCTATTGCAGTTCACTCCCCAAACACCTGAAACATCTGAGTCTGGGTCAAATAAAATACAGCCTGCAATTCAATCTGTGTCCCCCACAAAAGCGGCAGGGGCCCAGGTGCTCATTCTCTGGAGTTGGAAGTGGAGCCATACTCAAATCCAGTCATTCCACCACCAGATACTGAAGTCCTAGCACATCGTGACTGCTGTTAATACCTTTTCACCATGGCTCTTTGTCTCAATACAGTATCTTGCAAATATAAGAATTCTTTTCCCACTTTATTTGGAACCTAGTTGAGTTTTCAATGTTACATGAGAGGTATTCAGACACATAATACAAACATTAGTCTTATTTCTCAGCATTATCATGAAAATACATAACAAAGACATTCAGAATACAAAACAGTATGAAGACACAAGGATATTATGTATGCACTAAATAGGGGGAAGCAACTGGAAACTCAGTGAATATGAGTCCAATTAGAAGTCTGTTACTGGGAACATAGTTCTTGGAATTGACAACTTCAGTGTTATTTGGATGCTTGGTGTCAGAAGTTAAGAAAGGGCTCTTTTTCCAGACAGTATTATTTAATGTGTACTCAATTTCAAGCACAAAGGCAAGAGTTAAGATCATGTATGATTTCAAAAGTAAAAATGATCATTTAGTTGCAGATAGAATCATCCATAATTTTAAGATTTGTAAAGAGTACTGCATGAAAAGATATTCATTCTAAGCTGTTTTCTCTTTATTCATATGCAATTTGTAAGCATATAAGGCTTAATTAGAACTTTGCTTGACAGATTAGTAATTATTTTGGCTTCTAAAGTTTACTGATTGTCGTTAACATTATACTATCCTTTTGGTCAAGTGTTTTACATAGTCAAGTTTATTAATTTTTCTGAAGCCAGACAAAAACATTTTTTCATGAGTTTGAAGAATCAAAATGAGTGGACAAACATAATGTGTGTGACTAAACTCAAATAGATTATCAGGATATTTAGCAGTAATTTTCACAAAAATATTGTAGTATTAAAGTGATAATGCAAACTTTAACTTCAAAAAGTTCTATTTTTCATATGGTTTAAAAATCAATGTAAATTCTTTCACTTTTCCCTCCCAGATGCAGGATCAGGATCTGGAGACGGAGGTAAGACATGACCTCTTTCTGTTAAAGACTTATGTTTGTGATATTATTATAGATATTTTGCTATTCATTTTCCATTACAGATATCTAAAACAAATTCACATTTATATTTTCAGAAGAGATAAAACAAAAAAAAAAAACCATGTCCTTATTTTTTTGTTTAATTGGAAGATAGTATTAGCATATGTCTATATAACTATCATGGTAGAAAAAGTCTTCATCATGGCATTTGTAATTTTAACTGAAGACACATTAGCTTGCAACAGAACAGTGTTAAAAAATTTAAATCAATGAAAATAAGATCTTGACATGTTTGATTCAATATGTAGTTATTTTGCTAGCATAAAATATGTTTTGTTATGTGATTTTGCTTGAAGAAATATATCAGAGGCAACATTTTTTAAGTTTTATCAGATTTATTTATTGACAGAAGATTATAGATTGAACCTTCATTTTAAATGTCCCAAAAGCTTTTCTAAATGAAATGGAAGCTAAATTTCACTTTATCCATGCAAAGCAAACCAAAACCAAAATTGGACATAGATATAATTTTAAGATTAATATAAGAAAATGATGAATGAAATTGTAAGCATTCTGTTAAGGTATGGCTTAATTGTGAAAACTAACTAAGAACATGACTCAAAATTGTACTGTGAGTAGATGACTCAATAAAAGGTAAGAAAAAGAAGCTTTGGGTCCAGGAGAAACAATTTCTTTAATGCACATAATATCTAATTCGGGAAATAGTTCAAAGATTTATGAATTTGACTCATGCAATACAAATATTAACAAATTCAAGTGAACAATATCCAATGAATGCAATCAGAGTATCATATTGTCGCACAATTTTTCTCCATGAAGACTGGAACTAAACAGGAGTCAAGACTCAAATATTGAATGTATTTCGGTTATTACGTGGCCTTTGGCCACTCACTGATATTTGGACAGTTTTTTTTTTTTTCCTTTTAAGAAGTTAAATTTCCCCATCCTCCTGAAACAGATGATTAATCAAGTATTCTAAAGAAGCTTTTCCTCAGAGGTTTTCAAGAGTTTAGAAGGTGGAAACGAATCTTTTCTTTCTGGGGAGGTGGTAGAGGGAGAGAAAATTCCTTGGATAGATAATTCACTATTGAAATATTAAGAAAAAGATGAGCTTGAATACGCTGGATTTATTTTGTTGCCGCTGCTAATTTCCCGTCTTCACTCATTGTTATTAACACATACAAGTGAAAGAAATGAACTTCTTCTTTGATGAATTACATATTGAAAACTGTGTTTCACATTGTGTTATCTTAATCTGATTTTCTAGGAAATAATTTTAATCTTGCAAGTATGGCATTGATAAGTTATTTTATATCATGTAAGTGATGCGTCAAATGTAAACTACTTTCCTCTCTTTTTTTTATTTTAAGTAAAAAAGTTTTCATTTTAAGTACCTTTTAATAATTTGAAACTAAAAAAATGTTCTTTGTAGATGTTTATAAAAAACAAGAGTACAGATTCATTTAATTCTAAATTGTCTTTTAAATAGTTACTTGTAAAATTGTGATAACTCCTAGCTGTATGGACTCATTAAAAATTGATGAGGCTTTTTTTAAATGAAAATACGTTTTTCTAGTTTAAATGTTACTTTTCTTTCAGATGCAGATAGTTTAATCTTTTAAATTCATTATACAAAGAGGTCAAAAGAGCTTAAAAACAAGAACCCCCATATCTAGAGTGATTTGCACAAATTCAGTTTACATATTTATTGGTCTGTGTGAAAATCCTATAATTTGATTCACCATGGCTGCTGGAGGATATGCTCATTTCTGAATCTTATCTGAGTTAACATTATGAAGATAGCAAAGAGGTCATAACCACTTTTTATTAATCAAAAATGATTAACTTGTGATCATAATGTAATTTTGTGATTGTTTCAACTCATTTCTAGTGTATTCATACCATGTATGACAGTTGAGTCATCTTCACAAAGCACGTTAGATGCTTACTAATTAGTTTTCTAACTTGTTATTTTAGAAAAAGTTAATATAATTCTCAAATCTAGTGCATTTATCTGAATATTCAAATAAAAAATTGCTTGCAAGCTATTTATCATGTATAATTAGCCATAATTGTTATTGTCATTGAACATCAAAACTCTAAAATAATTTAGAAACACATAGATTTTTACTTTTTTGAGATTGTCCTCTATTTTAAAAAGTAAGTGAATATTCCATTAGCAATGAAGATTAGATCTGATTATTTAAAAGTAAATTAAACTTAACCCACTTGCACAAGGGCAAATGTTTCATTAAATGTATCTAAGTTGTATTTTTAACTGCTGCATAAAAGGAATGTGAAGAATTTGATATCTACTTTACAGAGAATTTTTCAGTCTTTAAAGTTCTGATCTTTTTATTTAGATGAAACTAACAAAATGGTTAATGCTTGGCATAAAATGTGTTTATTGTGGCTTTGACAACGTCTGCTAATGCGTATTCATTCATAAAGGTAATTGCAGGGTAATAAGCACTGCAAACAAATCTTCAAGTTGGTGTTTCCCGTTTTAACGACTATATCCTTTCAGTGTTCAAAAACTACTGCCACCAAAAATGATTTTGCTCTTTTAGTTTTGTTTATGTTATTCTGTTTTGGAACAGAAATGTGTTTGGTAATATATCTACATGACATTACCTTTCTGGATAGGCTCACTGTTGGAAAAAAAAATCAGATTGGACTACATTAACCATGAACTTTGCTATAGTGCGATGATATGTGGACTGAGTTCCAAGAAATTTGAGAATGCTATTGAAAGATAAGAATTGATATTTCAGACACACACACACACAGGTATGCAAATGTAATGTAAATAACAAAATGAGTGTGTGTAGGAGGGTTAATAACCTCTTTTCTACGCACAGACGTCCTTAAACCACAAATACTGAAAAAAGTAAAAGCATTAGAGAAGCCTTCCTTCAAAATCCAATGGTATGTGGGTGGTTACAGTATAATTTTTAACCCCTACATTTCTGAGTCATTCAGTGATATTATAAGGGCAAAGTTATGTACAATTTCTATCACTCTTCTTTAGATATTTAGAAACTGTTTAGGTTGTTGCCAGATTGCTAAAAATAAAAAAAAAAATCAAACATTAAAATAATTGCCAATATATTTTGTTGTACATGTGGCAGAAACCACAATTAAATTTTAATAGCATCTATGGAAATTGAGCATTAATGACTGTGAAAATGAAGTTAATTGAAGTTACATTGCATAATTCAGTATTCATAGTCATATTTCATGAAGAAAAAGGGGGCACTGGGATTATTTATAGAAATAAAAATTAAATTAATGTCAATTATAAAGAAAGCCTGATTTTATATGCAATTTTCAGGTACCTATTTCATGATAGCATTGTTGTAGGAAAAACCACTTGACATATTGCTTTATGTAATAAAAAAAATTTCCTGTGAAAATTATATAATATTATTTAAGATGTCCATACTTATTTTATATACATTTATTTTTGAAACAGAGAGAAAGAATGACACAGAGAGAGAGATCACTCATCTTGATTTGTTCCCTAAATGCCTACAATACCCTAAGCTAGGCCAAGGCCAGGAGTCTAGAATTTTTTGCTATAATTCTCCATCATGACTGTCACAGACTCAAGCACTTGAGCCATCACTTGCTTTTCCACAAGACGTACGTTTAGCAGAATGCCAGAATTGGGAATGGAATCAAACTCAAACTGAGACACTCAGTTTGGGCATCCCAAGCAATGTCCTTAATTCTGCATCACAGGCCCACCACAAACTTCATATCCATTTTGGATACAGCAGGAAAGGTTTACATTCCAAAACATACACAATTATGATCATGTGGGTTGCTAAAAATGAATGAAAACTATTGCAAGAAGCTTGAAAGCTTGAGAATCTTTTTAAAAAAAATTCTTGTCTGTCCAATGTCAATTTGGTGGCATTCTAAAATTTGGTTGGCTTGAACAAATGTCATATAACCTGGGCACCATGGCAAGATTTCTGGATCTGTAATGATGAATATAGCACAAATCTTTGCACTGAAGAAAATTACATATAAATTCTCAAAAATCAGAAATTTATAACAAAATTTTTCTTGAACAAATAAAATTTTACATATTCTGTAAACATAAAGGACCTGAATATTTATTCCCAAAATTATCAGTAACTTTTTGCTTCCATGTTGCTGCATTCATTCCCTGTCCTGACCAAGTTGTACTTTCCCTCTTCATTATCAGAGTCAGATATTGGGAAACATATTATGCCTCACCATCATGTTTATATTACTGTCCCGTCCAAATGGGCATCAATTGTGGACAGCCCAGCTGAACTACTGATTCAGTAAAGTATCCCAAGCATGCAAGGTCTAAGATTCTACCAAAGCAATAAGGAGAGGGAGGAGGCAGAGACTATCCTGTATGTTGCTGTGCTTAGAGCTGTTGTTCTTGGAAATGAGCTTACAGTTATCTTACTCTCAATTGAAATCCTATCTTCACTATTCCATACAATGGAACCACCTTGTTTTCTCTCATTACCCCCAAAAAGAAATAAAAATGAGATGGAGTAATTACCACTTGAGAATGTAAAATTAACATTACAAACTTTGGCCTTAGTAACATATATGGATTTTGTTTAAATTGCATAAGAAAATAAAATTGAACAACATGTTATCATGTTAGAAATGACATTAGATTACAAATCAGGAAACATACATTGGAGATTTTTAATTGCCTAAAGCTACTGATTTGATTTTTGTTCTCAATCTTTTTGGATTTTCATTTATTTTATTATCTAAACAGAAAATATCCTTTAATTTTTTTTTTATTTTTCATGATTCAATTCCTTAGCCTGAGAGATTTCCACTTTCATATTCCCTGTTACTCCTCCCACTATCTTTTGTCTCACTACAGTAGTGTATCCCTTCAGCAACAGGCACAAGTATATCCTTCTGCTATTTAAGTGTATCATGTCATTGTAGGTATA